CAGTGTTGATGATCTGCTTCGGTTGAGTGAAGTCAGGTGGCAAGCTGCCTCCTTGGCTTAAGGGGTTAATGTGTGCCAGCGCTACCTGGGTCGGTGCAGCCGGCTGCTGTGTTGGCAGGTAGCCCATCTGCTGCTGGGTCACCACAGGCAGGGCTTGAGCAGGGGAGGATTGTGCTGCCTGGGCGTATGTCAGTTTAGGCATATGAGCGGGCACAGCTGCAGTCGAATGCCCGATTGTGGTCTGCAGTCCTCCCATGGCAGCCGGCGGCTGAATGCTCGGAGCAACCGCATTAGTCTTAAGATGCATGTGAACTAAGTCTTGGGGTTGCATCTGAGACACGTTATGAGTAGATGAGTAGTCGTGCTTCTGAGCAGCGGGCTGCTGGAAGGTCAAATAGGGGCCGCCCGTATCTCCGCTGCCCAGGCTTTCGGTATAATGGCTAGCCGCGCTGCTGACACTCTCTCGGTCCGGGCACGCCACACTCTCAGGCACAAACTGGCGGATGCTTTCCACTGTCCGGGTGCTGGGGGCGTTTTCAGAGGACACTGCGTTCGGGGCCTCCTTGTCGTAATACTCGGTGCAAGTCCACCGACCCTTCTTAAAAGGCTCAGAGGTAGAGTCCAATTTTACCACTCTGAAACGAGAGCTGGTGGTGGCTGGAGTAGGCACTTGGGCCTGCTGAGGCTGAGTGTTCATCGGCGGGACAGAGGGACCAGGCATTACGTGCTGGCCCATGACAGCTGGGCCCACCTGCCCTCCACCTGTTGAAGCAACACCACCAGAAACGGTGGTGATGCCCATGCCAATAATTCCACTAGGATTGTGTGTCAAGTTTACAATTTGGTTACTAATACTATTCAAAGTAGGGGAGTAGTTTACACTGCTACTATGGGTACTCTTGCCACCCACAACAGGCACACTGGCAGAATTTAACATAGAAACGTTATTTGTTATAGGTTTACCAGTACTAACTGTGGCACCTGAAGTCACAGAGATCATTCCAGTTCCTGAGGCGACAGTGGCCAAAGGCTTGACAGCGGTTGTGCCAACAGAGGCACTCTCACTCAATCCTACCACATTTGAAGGCATTTTCTGGCCTGTGCAAGCAGAACTTGAGGTCACCGCAGACGTGACCACGGCACCCAAAGATATCCCAATCTGCATCCCCCCAGCAGGATGGGCTTTTCCAGAGGAAGCAGGATTATGGTGATGATGGTGCACAGTACCGTTAACCATAGTGCCATGCATGTGTGCTTGGGTGAGAATGGGAGGCTGGTTGGGCGACACTGCTCCCGGGGTCTCCACCTCATGGAAGTTATTTAGCGTCTCCTCCGAGGAGCTCCTTTCCGGTCCCCCCACATTGTTGGCCCGTGAAAGAGACACATCCATGATCTCGGAGGACGACAGGTCTTCGGTGTGGGACTCGTCCAAATCATCACAGCTCTCAGTGTCCTCTGTAATGCTGTTGTTGGTGCTGACAGATGTCTGAGCGGGAGTAACGCTGGTGATCTGAAAGCCACTCTTCTTCTTCATCTGAGCTACTGTGGTGGGCAGAGTTTGGGGTAACAGGGTGGCCTGCACAAGGATATTCAGGCTCTGAGGAGGGTTCTGGGGCCCGAGCGAGGATGCAGCCGGCGTTTGAGACTGAATCAGCACCGGAGATGAATAATCATCCCCCAGCATCAAGTCGTTGCTATTAAGACTGGTGCTTCCAGAAGTTGTCAATGTGGAGGAGCCACATACCAAGCTGCTGCCCTCCCGTTTGGGTAAACTCATGGGATAACCCATTTTTCGGGCGCTGCCGGAGTCCCCGGATCGGTCGTGGTGATTCATTTCTAGAGGATTGTCTCCAACAAAGTTATAAACGCAGCTCAAGTGAACAAGCTCTTTTTGGGAAGCAACTTGAAGCCGCTCAAGTAATTTCCACATAAAACCAACACTTTCCAGTAACTGCCAGGATAATTCCACTTGAGGTGCGTTTAAATGTCCACCATGAGGAGCAGGCTAACGCCGATGCTAGGTAACACTCGCTAGCGAGCTAGCTGACACGGATTCGCTTCAGCTGTTGTTTTCAAGCGTATATCCTCGCAAAACCATTCAGCACACACGTTTAAGCGTGAGGGCGTCGACACAGACAGCCGAGGCGAACGATATATCCACACTTACAACGACACAGTCTCTCCCATCACAGTTCAAACTGCCAGGCGCATTTTCAATTGTTGTATCGCAGTCACCAGAGCACGAAATCACACGAAACAAAGTGCTTCAGCCGGCGTCAGATGACAGAGAGAAACCGAGCGACTCAGCGCTGTCCTGCTTTATTCCATCCCGTGCTTTCTTTTGTTTTAGTCCTGTGTTAGTCTCTCTCGCACTCTGCTCCTATTCACCAGCTGCCTCCTCCTTGTAATGTAGCCTGTGCTCGTGCTATCAGCCCGTGACGAGTCCCAGAAAGGAGGAGGAGAGCGCGATAACATGGCGACCGCGCATGGCAGTTCCCCTCCACAGCGGCCAGACATAAAGCCCAGCGAGTCTGGCGAGGATCGGCGGAGGGCGGGGCTTCCTAGAGACGGCCGGCTGGCGAAGAGTTCCGAGAACACACGAGCGCAGCCGAGTACAGCCAACTGTGTTGGTGAGGGATGTTTCTTATTATAGCCTTCTGTAACAGTGGCAGCAAACACTCAGAATAACATATTTTGTCCGCTGTGGTTATTATTATTTGACATTGAAGGAAGGGCATGGATTTCGTGGTGCAATAAGGCAAAAAAATTGTTTATGAGGAAAAAGATGTGTATTTCATTGATGCCGAGCTCGGAAATAAACAGTTTAAACCTGTGAAAGATTTAGCAAATACCTGTATTTTAGGTTGGATGCTACTGTATGTTTTTCCCTATACAGGGCAGCTACATCAACAAGATGTAAACAGACACTGACAACAATGCTGTCAACATAGTCCAGAGATTTGTTCTGTTTTTACAAAGCAGCTAGTCTGAAAGAGGAGCCAGATATTTCCACAGACAGAAAAGAACAACCAAACACATCCACACTGACACAGTTATTTCACAAACGCTGTTTGTTGCTCACCTCGTGTCTAGTTTGGGGACTAGATAAAGCTCTAGCTCCAGCAGACAGAATACATCCTACATTTTACACAGAATACATCCCTTACGAAAATTAACCATGGTTTTATTGTAGTAAAATTGTAGTAGCCATGTTTTTTATTTATATGTTTTTCTATGATTAGCAAAACCATGGTTAATTTGTGGTTACCATGGTTTAACTATAGTAACCATGGATGTTTGGCTTCATTTGTGGTAAAACCATGGTTAATTTTCATAAGGAATTATGTCTATTCATGTGTTTTACTTTAAACCGGTATAATTTTGATTATTATTATACACCGGTATAAAACCGGTGTTTTATTTCAGACGTTGAAAGCTAGGTTATAAAAATACAACAAGGAATGTGTCTCATGTGCGCTGATCCAACTATATTTAGCTTTCAGCTGTGACAGTGAGAATAGCATCTTTGTTGTGTGGAAGAAGATACATTCTCAAAAGTATGAACACCAGATATGTATATAACACTCAAGATTTGCCACCACAGCTACTGGGCATGTTTGGCTTCATTTGTGGTAAAACCATGGTTAATTTTCATAAGGAATTATGTCTATTCATGTGTTTTACTTTAAACCGGTACTGTTTGAGGCCCAGGAAGCTGTGTCTAGAAGAAGTCTCAAACAACAGGCCGTTTAAGCTAGAAGCAAAACAAGCAAATAAAGCAATTATGAAAACGATCATCTAAGTAACTTCTTAACTGCATGGAAAATTACTGATAACTGTGCACATACTAAAGCAGGTTTTACAAGTTTACTAACTTGCGCCGGTTTATTTATAGGACACGTGAATAGGCAAGGTAAGTGATTAGAGGCATTAAACGACATTATCCGTTTTTGCTCGCAAACTTGATAAATTCCTCTCTTGTCAGGCCTGCTGGGTAACATGGCAGGATATTCAAACATGTTTTTTCTGTGTATCATTTATTCACATTGTTTCATTCCCAACTTCACTTGTAATGATGTTGAGTCTGCCAACGAACGCAGCTTGTTCCAGAATCCTCTACCTCATGATATGATGTCCTTGACAGTGACAGCAAGGACGGCGCTCCCTTCATTTCAGCACTCTGTAATATTATGTGAATAATCTTCGCAAAGCTACTTGTTCAGAAAAGGTTTGAATTCACGTGAAATATGAACATGTGGTGAAAGGAAAGCATTTTGGTCTATGAAAGATGTACTTTGTGTAAACCATCTGAGTCAAACGTGAAACCAGATAGATTTTAGAGCCTCTTTGACCATCGGGTGAAATAATTATATAACGTTGGATAGGGCTTCAAGCGTTTCTTCAGTTTATATAGGCTATTTTATCTAACTATTATTAGTATAAATAAACTTTTTTTGATAGATTGAAGTGATATGAGGTAATACAAATCTAGTCCCTATTAACACTTCACTTGCAATTTGAATGGTTTTATAAATGCTAAATTCAGTTTAGCTGTGTTGATCTCAGGCCTTTGGAAACAGGCTCTAGTTTTGAGGACTGTGGAAACAAAAGAGGGTCAAACAGCTTCATCTAGTGGCGGCTTCTTGAGATTTTCTTGAGACAGTTTGGATTTAGCCATTCAGGAAAGTTTAGATTTCTGCTGAATTAATGATGTAGTATAGGTATAATCCAGAGTAGCTTTGTCAATGAGGATGAATATCAGAATGTGAATGTTGATTTTTATTTTTTTTTTGATTTTGTGGTTATCATAAAAACGTAGGCCAATAGCATATTGCTTGCTTGGAAAACTCAAACAGAGTTAAATGAGTCCAAATGTGTTTTTATTACATTTAAATTTTGATTTCAATTAAAAAAATAAAATCCTACTCAAAAACGTATCTTCGTACATGCAAAGCGAATCTAATTTCTTCACATGGCCACTAGATGGGGGTAAAAAGATATTAAAGTCTCTCCGATGACCAACAGGTTCACCATGAGCTGAATTGTTCACGTTGACTACATATAGTGCGATTTGCCTTTCAATAACCAAGTTGATTTTTACTGTAGTTCAGTAAAAGCTTTTTGTGTTCTTTACACAAAGCCCTCCAGTCATGTCAGACAAAGGCCAAGACGTCGATTTAACTAGAGCCAAACAAAACACGGGAGTCTGGCTGGTGAAGGTTGGTGGTTTATCACTCAGCATTGGTGCTGATCCTTTAAACAAACTAGTCTGGAGAATTAAACTGTGGAGGTAAAATATCTCTTTGTACAGTTGAGGTGAATAATAGAGGGTGGTTCAACGGTTTCAAGTTTTTTGTTTTATTTTGTGCTACAAAAGTACTGAAGTTAATTGGAAATCTACAACGTATCCCGTGCTCTGTTGTTAAAACCTGCCCCATTGTCGAACTTAGTAGCTAGTATAAGTGAGATGTAAACCGCAAGATTAAAAGGAAACATGATCATCAGTTAAAACTTTAAATGTAGCTTTAAAAAGTTATCCCTGTTGAAAAAACCAGCATATGCTGGTTAGGTATGTTTTGACGCTGGGATTTGTGCTGGCAAAGGACCAGCATGAACCAGCAAAGGACCAGCATGAACCAGCAAAGGACCAGCTTAAACCAGCAAAAGGACCAGCATGAACCTTCTTTCTTTTTCCCCCAAAATGATGTTTTGTAAATTCTTTACACAGATTTAAACAGTGATTTGACCACTGTAGCTCTTGTCTAATTGTATAAATGAATGGTGGTATAACTTGGATCTCCTTTATCTCAAATTGGGAGAAATTTTAAATAGACATGTGATGATGATCAGAAAGATGGACCCAATCTGTATCCAAGGACCAGAATCGTTGAGGCTTTGGGGTCTTTAAAATTATTACAATTTTTTTATCTTCTTCGCTAAGGCTAGTAAGTGACCAGCTAGCAACAACCCAGAAAACCATAGAAATTCTAAGAACCACCTTAGCAACTGCACATGGCAACCTCACACAATATCACATTTGCTTCAGAAAATATAAACATGCGGTTGAATTATGGAAATATGAAATTATCCAGTTATACTCGGACAAATATGAGCGGTGTACTTTTTTTAGGAAACCAACAGGGACCGATAACTAAATGTAGTCTTATTCACTTTTCCGTAGGTTCCCAAATATCTTTCTCAGCAGTGGGCAAAAGCATCTGGGCGAGGAGAAGTGGGCAAACTTAAAATTGGGAAGTATGATCTAATTTTAAACCTCATTCGAAATTGACATTTTTGTATGAAATCTTTCCACTCATACTTTTTAATCTCTCTTCTAGAGCTCAAGGGAAGACGGCGGTAAGTTTTATTCGTGTTTTTAACGACCTGCACTATTTGCTCCTCATCTTTTATTAAGATGTCAGTGCTGATTTGCATAATTACTATGATCTGACCCTGGGCTGTGGAGAGGGAGCGTGTGATGTACTATTGCTTACGTAGAGGCTGATTGATGGTTTCCTCAGGTGTCTTTCAGTCTGAACGAGGAGCTGACCGATTCATGACATGAGTTATCAAATTTGCCTTGATCTTTTGGCATTTAAGAGGTCTTTGTTCCATTAAAACATCCTGCAAGTTTTAGAGCTTAAAACGTCCTCCTCATTATATAAAAAAGCGTGTTTATTTCATTAAGCTCAAAAAACGGTTTGTTTTGGATCCGAGGTGCAATGTGACGTCACCTGAGCACAAACATTTGCATAAACACGCCTCCAGAGCAAAACATCAACGAATAGTCATCTTCTCACCATAGGCCCCGCCCACTGGTGTTCAGCCGCATAATGGCTGGCACTTGATAACGCTAAATGCGAGTGTCGCGTCAAAAGCAAATAGAAACTACAATCACTGCCATTATCTTGTCTACACTGGATACAGTATACAGATGCACATTAGCTTTCTGACAAAGTACAAAAACTCGAGTCTGTCGTCAATAGAGAAAAAGAACGTTCGCTTTGACGCGTTTGTTTTAAACGGCTTGTTCGCGTCTTTGTACAGATATCAGAATGTTCCCAGCATAATGAACAAGTGGATAGTTTATTTTTTAATGGCACCCCGGATCGTGTCAGGGGATTGATTGGAGCATTTTGTTTTGTAAACGAGGTACAGTGTCATGGAGAGTTCACAAAGAAACATTTGTTGAAAGATGAAGCGGAACTAGATCTGACTGCAGCTGCATCACAAACCGTAAGTAAATGATTTCATAATGCTTTGTCTGGAAGTGACAAAGATGTTTTATTTTGATCATGTTGTCAAAACACTCAAATGCAATAGCGAGGGGGCGTTGATACGGTTTCCTATGCAATGACGTTAGCCAATCATAACAGTGGCGGATTACTGATAAGCCTTAAAGGACCCGCCCCTTAAAACAGGCCATTTTAGAGAGAGGGTCAGAATGAGGGTTGAAAATAATCATTTTACCACATATTTATTTGTTGTTTTGTTTAAAAAATATTTAATAACATTATAAAGAACATAATAAATAAAAATCCGCGCAGAAACGCATGCAGAATATTTTGTTTGGTTTAATAACTTGTTGAATATCAGAAGTTAGCATGAAAATATGCAGGCTTTGTTTCTTGCATTTTTCTTCTTCCAACTCTTTATGAAACTTTGATTTGTTGCAGTCATGCTCTTCTTTTACAGATGGCCTTGACTGTTGCCCATTTCACATTGTTCCAACATGGTGGTGTGCCTCTATTCATACTCACACTTTGAAAAGTACATTAGCAGGAATTTTATTCTTCGGTCTCGCTCCGTTTTCTCTCTGTGCAGTTGAGAAATTGGTCTCTTAAAGGCATACAAGTCCTTAAAGTCACATGTTCGCCTGATCATTAATTTTGATCAAATTGAGAGAGAGCCATTAGTCATGCCTCCTTGGGAGCACATGATTAGAATCTTTGGCTTCTTTTTTGTTATGTAGGAGTCTCATTTGCCTGGCAACAATTGGATGTGAGACTAATCCATGAATATTTCAGCTGTTAATGGATTTCTTCCATGTGAAATAAATGCTCCTGCTTACCAGCACCCTCCCGCAGGTCTCCAGTCCCCTGCTGGCAGCGGTTTAGAAACACATCAGCCGGTGACGACGGCTAATAATCCCTGCCGTGTCTCATCAAATATGAATGACTGATATCTGCAATTAAAAAGGACCCTGTTTTGATGTCCACACGACAAACCGTGGAAAAATGGAAGGGGTTTCATTTTTTTTTGTCCCATGTCAGAAATGTGCTGGAGACTCATTTTAGTGGGAGATTGCATGAGAGTGCATGACAGATTTGATGGAAACAGATGGATACTAGTGTGTGGAGATGTCGGCTAATCCAAAGTGAGTGTAACCATATGTCTGCCTTTGCCTTTCTTTGAAACGGTCGACTTAGACTGTAACTGTCGAGCAGAGCTGTTTTTTTATAATTACTCTGCACTCTTGACTGCGCTGAATGTTTTGTTGCAAAATTCACAGTGTGCTTGATCTATTTTGAACTTGATATTTTCCCACGGTAGCTGAGCTCCTGGCTCTGACTAATTTTCCTGCACTTTAAATTTTTTTAAGTTGGCAAGATTTTTTTTGTTTGTTACTGAGCTAAATGAGCATGTCTAGTTTTCTGGTAATACACCAGATGTTGTTTATGAATCAGTGCACACATGCAAGAATATCTGTGGTAGATGTATGTATGCCACGTGCTCTAAAAATGATCAAACCCATTCGAATTTGGATCAATGCTGGAGGAAATTTAATTTTAGGTCACATTTTGCTGCATAATATTGCAAACTTACAATTTAGCAGAGAGTATCTCTCTTACAAGCCGACTCCACAGCAAATAAGAAAAAAATAAATGTAGCTCTATTTATACAGCCCACCGTACATTCCACAGTTCACAGACTAAACCATATGCTGTGTTTGTCAATGTAGATTGTCACCTAGAAGATGATCCACAGTCTCATTTAGAAACATTTCAACAGTGTTTTGAATAAATTATAATGTGGCTTTATTGTGCAAAACATTCACAGACTCCAAATTACAACCTGTTGTTCACTACATGTTCACATTACCAGAAATCACAAAACTTGCTCACAAATGTAATGATCATTGCACTCCGCCTTTAGATTCCACAGTACTCTGCAATTCAGATTCATTATCATCACCATGTACACTACAAACTGTTGCTCTTCATCTGTAAACAGAAGACGACTACAAACACAAACTAAACAAAACCCCACAGCACAGTACACCTCATCTCTCTCTCGTTTCTCAAGGCTGTCCGTCGGAGTGTGTCACATAGAAGCAGTTAGCGTAGAGTATTCCAGAACAGGTTTTCGGTTGAGGACGCATTTGTTGCGTGTACATCATCAGCAGCTGAGACGGGGTAGAGGCTAATTCACTGTTTGAGTGCTGGGGCTTTACATATTCATCAGATGGATTAAATTGGATGTTTTCACATATACTTCTCACTTTTTCACTGAAGGAATATTTAAAAATATCGCATAATTTACATTTTGGAAGCAAATTAGTCCTTGCTTCTGTCATATTTACTATGGCAGCTGGTATTTTGATTTATTAAATCACTTGAGTTTTACTTGCTATTGATGAGTTTTGAACAATGGCATAGTCTATGGGTTGTCAAATCATTATAGCTAACTAGATCTCTGGATTAGTTAATGTCACAAGCCTTTTTCTTTTTTTTCTTTTTTTCTTTCTTTTTTTTTCAGTACAAGATTGTATTCAATTATTTAAAGCAAGACAACCCAGGTGAAAAAATTTGATTGTATTAAGAATTGCAAACATTTTTGTATTACAATTTTTCTGAAATGTAATGTTTAAATATGCAAATGAGGCATTATCTAATTAAATATGTGATAATTTGAATATTTGAAGGACAGAAATCTGAACGTTGGGTAAAGCCAGGTTTTCTCTCCACTAGTCTGAAAGAAGATATGCTATAGAAGCAGAATAATCTCAAAATTGAAAAATTTTGCCTGTAGTGTCTTGGATTTGTGACGTCACAAACGGTACGTCTGTGCAACCCTGCGCCACTTTCCTCATGACTGTTTTTAAACCGTGCCCAGGGCCGGATTTACCTCTTTTCGTGACATAGGCAAAACGATTTTTTGGGCCCCCCTTCCCTATTAATATAATAGGCCTAATATTACCACCCAAGCAAACAAAAATATTTCTTAATCAGTGGAAACCGTTACAGTGTTTTCTATCGCAATAAGTGCTTGCGTTCAGTCAATAAAAATCGATTGTAGTTCTTAATTAGTTTGAGAACTGAGAAAGACGTTCCATTAATAGGCGCGGCGACGTGGCCACATAACCACTTCGGGAGTGCATTATTTCTCTAATAATTTGAACAGCCTGGAGTCACAATCACACATCAATTGTTCAGATGATTTGCTTCAAGACATTTGACATGTTTCCGTCCTGAAATCTCGTGTGTTGAACTTGCTAATTTTTTACGCACATCATACCAAACCTTCCGTTGCAAATTCCAAAACATCATTTTAGAGCTAATAACAGAGGCTCGAGCCATTGATATGCAGGCTAACACAGTTATTAATGCAGTCTAAAGCAGTTATTAGAGAGAGAGAGAGATTAAGCACATGTGAACACTTGCGTCTGTGCGTCTCTCAGCAGCAGCGTCTACTAATAGCGAATCTTTAAGTTGAACTGCTTCAAGAACCTCACTACTGAGAAATGTCATGTAGCTTTTCAGCTGCGAAACTATTTTATTGATAAATTTGCAGGACAGCCGCAGCGCTGACAACAAGTTTCTGTCCGCGTCTCCGCATGTGTGCGCGAGTACATGTCTGTCTGTACTGTGTCTGTGTGTACGTCTGTGAGAGAACGGGAGAAAGAAAGCGTGATTTCTGTACATAAAAAAGGTTGAAGACATGGAAATAGTTTGTCATTTTTACCCTATTGTTTGTTATACTTATTTGCTCAATGTCTTCTGGGGTTTTAATTCTTTTACTGTTGTAGATAGCCCATAGTATAACAAAAATATTATATATCTCTTCATTATGTTTGGGGCCCCCCTGAACGAGCAAGCACATGCCTAGAATGCCTATGCGTAAATCCGGCCCTGACTGTGCCGCCCATGCACATAGCCATCTGATTACAGATGCAGTGACAGTTTATTATGGTCATATATGACTGATTATAGTTGTTATAGGCAAAGGCTCGGTCATGGTTTAATCATCATGTGATTACTGGGTTTATTCATCTGCATTTTAATTGCAAACAGGGTTTAAATATGCCCGAGAAAATAGTGGGTGGCTGACCTGCTTTTTCTCATCTATCTTTTTTTGTTTTAATTAGTGCACTTGTTTGTTCAACTTGAAGAGGCCCAGATTGATTTTAGTCCATCAGTGGCAGATGCTCAAGCAGGCAAATGTAGATCAGAGCACATGGATGGGAGATATTAGATTAACTGTGCAGAATAATATATGGCTTGACAAATGCAGAGACAATGAACAGAGACAAAGTGGAGCAAATGCTGTGCTTTGTGGCCAGATTCATTATCAGTTTTGCATATTCATGAAACTACAATGGCCAAAAAACTATTTGGACAATTGGGTTATGCATTACAAAACAGAAAAGCAAACCGGGTGGCGATTATTTTAAAGGATGATAGCTCAAGAACACTTTTTCATGAAAAACTTGCTTTAAATTATAGATATACCATACGGAATATGTCATGCAAAAGAAAAAAATAGTTCATTCTGAGAATTTCTGACCATGAATTAAGAATTTATTCCCACAATTGGTCACATTTTTTTAATTTGTTCCCTTATGTTAATCATGACCGCTTTGTACTAATTCGATCCCTCATTTTAGTTCAATCATGACTACAAAAGAGGGAACAAAACAGTAGTACAATTTACCTAAAACTTGGGAACAACTTAAGTTGTGGGAACAAATTATTAATTTGTAGCCACCAATTATTATTTTTTTGGCTACATGTCTATATGTTTTAGACATGCAATTTTAAAAATATTTTTAGCTTCAGTTTGAACAGTATTATAATACAGTTCAAACAGAAGCTAAAATATAGTGTAAAACTGGTTTTCAAATGGTAGCATGTTCATAATAGATATTATAAACTACCCTGAGGTTACTTTGTCATAAAGTATGTCCACTAAAAGCCAATAGCAAACTGCATTTTTTGCACTCGTGAAGAAAACCACAGGAAAGGGACATGGCTTGAGTCCCGAAAGAAAGTGAGCAAATGAATCTCTTCAGGAATGGATGAATGACTCATTTTATCATTTATAATCTAGTCCTCCGGAGTTGTTTTTTTTTATGTTACCTTGGAATTGAACCACTGTAAAATATTCCTTTCACATTTATACATTCTCTATGTTTGTTTGTTTTCTCCCTCAGTCTTAGCAGCTGAATTTTCTTAAGTATGAATTTAGCTTTTATGTTGTTGTCATGGAAACATTCTGATTCAGAATAAAGTGGCAGTTACGTATGGCTGTTCAAATGGCCACATATGAGACAGTGATGCCCTGCACCCATAAGAGCATTTGCTTCAAACCATCTGCCCTCACAGAATGCGCACTTCGGAATGATATTAGCCCTAAGAATCACCTCGAGACCAATTTAGAAGCTTTTATAACTAATGCAATGAATTCATGCATTTTTAATTAAGTGTCTAAATGCACTTGGGGCTGCCGAACATGCTATTGTATGTGAAACTGGCAGTACCTTTGCTATATTTGCGTAGTGTTTGCAGACACTAAATTACCAAGTGCACGGGATTTCAAAACAGATGTTGAAATGAAGCCGGCAGAGTTAGAGCGGAGAGAAATTGTGCCACAGACATGATTTAAAAAGCCTCTGAGGCATATGATTAAGAGTCTTATTATTATTTTACTGTCACATCTTATCCCAAAAATATCTACTCCCTCAGAGTCCTTTAAAAAGATTAGGCTACAACTGTTATTGTGCTCTGGCAAATCTTCTCGGTGTTATGGCCCTTCACATATTTCAGTGCTGAAAGGAACGAGGTTGATACTCTGTCAGCTAATGAAAAATCTTAATTGAAAAGCATAAATTAAATGCAGTGGTCTCATAAAATGCAGTGTGCAATACTAGACGCTTTTGGAAATGATCAAAATCAACAGGCGCCGGGGTGAGCGCTGAGTTTAAGAGACCTTGAGGCGCTGAAAAGGCTTCTTTCTCTGCCGTTGTGCGCTGATGAAGAGACTGTGGGGATTGAAGCTCTGCCTGCAGGTGGGTGTGTGTGTGAGTGAGTGGAGGTAGAGAGGCTGTGTCCTGCTGAGGGCCGGGGATGTTATTGCACTCGTCTCTGAGGAAGTCAAACTGGTGGGATCTTGTGAGGAGGTGGAAGGCCGACCCCCGTAACCTCGCTATCATCTCCGCATCGGATCTGCTGCCCACCATCAGTTTGAGCAACTCGCGCCACCCCCAGACGCAGTCCTACTCCATTCAGAGCCAGCATTAATGCATCTCCGGCTGATTTAAATACGAATCCTGTGTGGAAACACTTATGTAACGTTACCGACCTCGTAAGATGCGCGAGTCACGTGACGTTCGGGGAGGGACGGTGCAGAGGAGATGCGAACCCCGAGGTCTCGGTTTGCCCTGACCCCTCTTCATAGCCTCCGGGTAATTGCGAGGAAAATGGATGCTTTGTTGAAGTTGTGAAACACAAGTGGGCGTTTTTATGGAGTTACTCCAACAAGTGCTCTAACACTCATCTGGCAATGATTGCCAATAATTGTGCGCATTAGTGCCGCTCTGATGGATTTTGTGAGTGAAATATTTCTGCCCTTTTAAAAGGCCTCTGGGACAATAACCACAAGGTTTTACAGGCACCGCGGTACAATTAATACAATCAACAGAAGCAAGCTAAACCATTAGGCCGACTTCATGACGCGCCATCAAACGAGAGCGGCGCAGCACAATGCCGTTCCGCAGGAGGGAGGCTCATTGGGGTTTGATTAAAATCATCACTCATGGCTGGTTGACCATACAAGAGTCAAACACTTCAGAATAGCGCCATAAAAACCACCGGGTTGAATCACAATATTTCAATTGTCACCTTGAAAGAGGGGCTTCGTGCCAACGCTTTATTAGAGAGTGCTTGCTGTTGAAGTATGTTAATGTTTTAGTACAATGCGAAGCCAGTAGTTGCTTGCAAAATTCAGATATTTTTAATTAGGTTTGCTTATGGTTTGTGTGAGTGTGTAATGCATGACACATGGTGTTTGAACATGGCTATGCAATGTTAAATGAATAGTTCACCTAAAATTTTAATTTGCTGAAAATGTACTCCCACTCAGGCCATCCAAGATGTAGATGAGTTTATTCTTCAGAACAGATTTGGAGAAATTTAGCATTACATCACTTGCTCGCCAGTGGATCCTCTGCAGTGAATGGGTGCCGTCAGAATGAGCGTCCAAACAGCTGATAAACACATCACAATAATCCACAAGGAAAACACATTACTCCAGAATATCAGTTAATGTCTTGTGAAGCCAAAAGCTGTGTGTTTTAATAAGCAAATCCATCATTAAGGCGTTTTAAATTTAAATGGGTGCTGTTTGTCCATAATCCATAATAATGCTTTCTCCAGTGAAAAAGTCCATCCTCTGTTTTCCTCTCTCATCAAAATCCACAGGCATATTTGTTTGGAACTATTTTGAACTGTTTTCGTTAGTAAACATTGCTTGATCTGTGCATATTTCTGTCCTGATTCAGACAAGATGACGTTTTCATTGGAGAAAGCAATATTATGGATTGAGGACTCGTATTTTAGCCGGAAGCATCTGTTTAAAGTTATAAATCTGATTATGGATTTATTCCAAACACACAGCTTTTCACTTCACAAGATGTTGTGAAGTGAAAAGAATTGATGGACTGGAGTTGTGTGGATTATTGTGATGTTTTTATCAGCTGTTTGGACTCTCATTCTGACGGCACCCATTCTCTGCAGAGCATCCACTGGTGAGCAAGTGATGTGATGCTAAATTTCTCCAAATCTGTTCTGATGAAGAAACAAACTCATCTATATCTTGGAGAGGTCATTTTCATCAAATTTTCGTTTTAGGTTAATCCATTACTTTTGAAAAGGGAATAATTAATCAAGAAATTAATGATAATACCTTACCTAGTGTGTAAATAATGATAGATTATTAGATTGTCCCATCTCGGAAATGTATAAAGCAGAATGTCTTTTGTTTTTAAGACAAGCTGGCTCTTGAAGGCATGGTTGTGCAGCGAGCTGAGTGTAGACCTGCAGTCAGTGAGAGCTACATGAAACTAAAGAAGTAAGTCAAAGCTTGATCACAATACTTCAATCTTGTCCAAGGCATTTGATCTGACCTTCTAGAGATGTGTGCTTTATTCACAGGCTCCAGATTGAAGAATCCACCAAACCTCTTCGTTTTTCCCAGAAGCTTGAGAAAGCTATCACAACAAATTACAAACCTGTGTCCAACCACAGCCATAATGTAAGTGCGTGTGTGTGTGTGTGTGTGTGTGTGTGTGTGAGAGAGAGAGAGAGAGAGAGAGAGAGAGGGATATAATAATGTGAGCAAATGAATGAATGCTCTGGTTTGCTTATGCTTCTGTTCAGGTGGAATATGAGAAGAGAAAGAAAGAGGAAGGCAAGCGTGCAAGAGCTGACAAGCAGAAGGTTCTGGAAATGCTCTTCTCTGCCTTTGAGAAACACCAGTACTACAACATCAGAGACCTGGTGGACATTACGAAGCAACCGGTGGTAAGTTGTCCAGCTCAAGGCAGTTGAACGTGAAAACACTGTGCCATTATATAAACGAGAGCTTGTGCCTCGATCCCCTCGTGAAAAAAAGTACACTTTAGTACACTTTTAAAAAGAGTACTTGTGTAACACTTCAGTATAAGAACCAGTTCTCACTATTAACTGGTTGCTTATTAGCATGCACATTATTAATATATTGGCTGTTTATTAGTTCTTATAAAGCATATATTCCACATGACCATATTCTAGATCCCTAATCCTAAACTTAACTACCTCACTAACTATTAATAAGCATAAAATGAGGAGTTTGAGGCAAAAGTCATAGTTAATGGTTTGTTAATGGCGAGAACTTAAAATAAATTGTGACCGTTATTTGTAATTAAATGAATGTGTATTATAGTTTGTTCATATTAGCTGAACTTCAGGGTGCTTTATTTGACCCACTTTAAAATACAGTGTATTGCCATGCTATTATATTAAACAAAAATATATTTTAATGTCATCTATTTTGAAACTTTGTCATGTATTTAAATATATATTTAATTACACATTTGAATGATGAGGTTGCAATTTAGAAAAAAAAAAACTTCGAGTGCACCCTTTTACGCAAGGGTTCATCAAAACTGATGTTTGCTCTGTTAATGGCTATTTTGAATGAATCTTTTCAGTTGTTTTATCATAAGTTATACATGAGAGAGATTAAACCAAGTTACAAGAACTCGCAGATATTCTGCATGGGTTTGGTGTTGATTATATTTTCATAGTTATGTGAGCTCTTGATGATCCTATGAATAATTGCCACTTGACTGCTGCCTCAGTCTCCCTGAAGGATTGGAGAAATATAAATGTGATTGAAGTTACATGAGTCATAACTGAAAATAAACTAAACAGAACTAAGATAATTGTTACTTCCCACGGTAGTCTTGCCATTTAGTGCATAGATTACACTAAGTGAGGCTAAATAAAGAATTTAGCACTTTTTCACAAAGTTGTTAAGAGTTGGATGATGTATGATCATATCTTGGCAGCATGTGTTCACCCTGTCGATCTGCTCTTCCTCTAGATTTACCTGAAGGAGATTCTTAGGGAGATCGGAGTGTATAATTCCCGAGGGCCTCATAAGAGCACCTGGGAGCTGAAGCCAGAGTATCGCCACTATGAGGAAGGACAGGAGGATGAGGAGGAAAAAATAGAGTAATCCGGTTTACATAAGCCTGGGTTGGTTTTGCTTTCATGTAACTGTTTATTTTTGTGCCAGATTTGTTTTGGACCTTGTTCACTCCCAGGTGGAACGAATGTCGGTATAAAAGAAATCAAGATAAACCTTTTTTTCTTGGGTTACATAACTCGCTTTCTCTAAGAGCATTATGAAATGAATACTGTAATTTGCATAAGACTCTTACAGCCTTCTGAGTTGAGAGCACTTGTGTTTATGGTTACAGAAGCACATTAATAACATTAATGAAAACACCCTTTGGACTTTCTATTAGTTTAACAGTTTCATAACTCTCGTCAGTAACCGTTAGTGCATATAAACACATCTGTCCTGCTGGGCAAGAGTAAATTGCTTAAGATCACTTGCGGGTCACACTTTACCACAAAACTAAATTAAAACAAAATTTGCATTGCAAGATGATGCATATTTTTTTGGACCAACAAGGATTTCTGGATTGTTACATAATCACAATTTCTCCCAAAATTCACTACTGTAATGCATTTTAGTGCTTCTGTATTTAATATGGTTCTCTACAGTGTTTACTCGTCACTGTAGTTTGTTTTTCAGTTTAAATTTGAATGAAGGCAACACAATAAATACCTTCATAATGTATAAAACTTTTTTTATTTGTAGAGATTTGTAGAAATACTGGTGGTGGATGAGGAGATACCCCAGACCATGTAAAGCACTTCGCGTGCCTAGAAAACCACTATATAAATGTAATTAATTATCATTTTTATTTAGGGGTTGGTGTGGTGATATAAAAAAATTTTTTAAAAGCAAAATATTATTTTTGTTCTGGGTAGGTGCCGCCCACCATATCTGCAGAGATGTTTCCTCTGCTATTATAAAAATATATTTTTCACCACCCCCAATACATATTTTAATATTAAGTTACATATAATACAATTATTAAATGCATTTATAACCGGTCAAAAAGCACATAGAAAATATTTAAAATAAATATATTTATTCCTGTGATGCAAAGCTGAATTTTCAGGATCATTACTCCAGGCTTCAGTGTAACACGATCCTTCAGAAATCATTCTAATATGCTAATCTGCTGAAGAAATATTGCTTATCAGTGTTGAAAACCAGTCAATATTTTTGAAATACAAGATGAAGGAATTTACTTAATATACCATTTACTTGAAATGGAAAATAATAGTACGGTGGAGAGCACGTGTTCAGCAGGCCAACGCACAGCCTGCACAGTATGGAGCGACAACCCTGCCAACAGCCTGCAGAACAACTCAACATACACATGCATTTAAGACTCTTGTTAAAGGTCAGATTACCTGATATGCATTCTTGGTAAGTCATGGTAGAGGACTGTAACTCTGTCGGTGATATAATAAGAGCTGGGTGTCGACA